AATAAAAGATCAAAATGATTAACAATGCAGATTTATTTTCACAGCCTTCTTTAATCATATTTACCAAGTGTGCGAATAATTCTGACCACGACTGTATATTCAAATTCATATACTATATTTAGTGTGTTCAGTGGCTTTGTTAGTGTCACGGAATCGGGTGTGTGGAGGCAGGCAGGACAACGAGGACGACGAGACACACACTCGCGGTAACATTAACAATAACCGACACCAATGGTCAGACAGACAGGAACTAATATGGGGTGAATAATTAGAGGCAGACAGGTGAGCACAATGACGGTGATTAACTAATGATTAGACGGGCTAAACCAACACAAAGGGAAGAAACCACAACAAACAGTCCACAGGGGCGTTACAGTTAGAGCAATAGACCAGAACTGAAGTCATTAATCACAACAGATCTCAATTATGCAGTCTAAGGTTTGACAGAAATTCTTGTCCGAAGAAATTTCTGGACATGCTTTTTAAATATGAAATAATATTATTATTAATTATACATTTTAATCATATTTAATATACTGTTTTAATGTAATAATATAGTAACATATATATATATGTGTGTGTGTGTGTGTGTTTGTGTGTGTGTGTAAAAACTGGAATAATTATTTTCAGGTTCTTTTGATGAATATACACTGCCGTTCAAAAGTTTGGGATCAATAAGATTTTTAACGTTTTTTTAATTTTCTTGTGCTCATCAAGGCTGTATATATTTGATCAAAAATACAGAAAGAAACTGTAATTTTGTGAAATATTATTGCAATTTAAAATAACAATTTACTATTTTAATATAATTTAAAATATAATTTATTCCTGTGACACAAAGCTGAATTTTCAGCATCATTACTCCAGTCTTCAGTGTCACATGATCCTTCAGAAATCATTCTAATATGCTGAATTTTGCTGATTTATAACCAATGTTGGAAACATTTGTGCTGCTTAATATTTTTTGGGACCTGTGATAATTTTTTTAGGATTCACTGATAAATAAAAAGTTTGAAAAAAAATTAAAAAAAAGAAATTTTGTGGTACAATATACACTACTATTCAAAAGTTTAGGTCAGTACATTTTTTCTTTCTTTTTGTTTTTTTTAATATTCAGCAAGCATGTGTTAAATGGATTAATAGTAATGACTTGTATTGTTAGAAAATATTTTATTTTGAATAAATGCTGTTCTTTTTAATTTTTTATTCATCAAAACATTAAAGAAAAATATATCACAGGTTCCAAAAAAATATTAAGCTGCACAACAGGTTCAACACTAATAATAAATCAGCACATTAGAATGATTTCTGAAGGATCATGTGACACTGAAGACTGGAGTAATGGCTGATGAAAATTCAGTGCTGCGTCACAGAAATAAATTATATTTTAAAGTATATTAAAATAGGAAGCCAATATTAGAAATTACAATAATATTTCACAATATTACAGTTTTTTTCTTCGTATTTTTGATCAAATAAATACAGCCTTAATGAGCATAAGATAATCCATAAAATTATTATTATTATTTTTTTTAATCTTACTGAGCCCAAACCTTTTAACGGCAGTGTAAAGTTCAAAAGAACAGCATTTATTTGAAAGATAAATATTTTGTAACACTATAAATGACTTTACTGTCACTTTTGATCAATTTAATGCATCCTTGCTAAATAAAAGTAATTATTTCTTTCCAAAAAAAAAAAAAGCAATCATAAGGACCCCAAACTTTTGAACAGTAGTGTACGTGTTCAATAGCAAAATTGTTTGGCCATGAGTGAGGGATGGATGAGCAGCAAGTCTTTTGTTTCCGGTTAAACGTCATTCTTCGTTCGTGTTTTTCAGCGAGTGAGTTATATTGATTACATTTTTAATACTCAAGCGTTGTTCCAAAGCTCAGTCACACTGCTGGAAATCACAGCTCAGGAAACGATTCGCATTCTTACCACCTCGATAAAGATTTTTTTTCTAACCACAGAGCAAGGATTTTGCTGAATCAAAGACATTTTTTCATTAACTTTAAATGAAATGTATCACATATATCTCTCCATTAAATTATATAAAATGCTCTAGCTTCACATGGGAAGTATGTCTGCGATTTTTATGTACAGAATAAATGCGCATTAATTCCCTCTTTATGCATATATTTGAATTGCATTTGATTTTGTTAGTTAAGTACATGTAAGGTATTGTATTTCGTATTTATTTTGAACTTTGCGGGATTTTTTCACTCATTTTACAGAAGTCTCCAGCAAAGAAGCTCAGCCATGCCATCAGTAAATCTCTGGGCTGCATGCCGATGGGAGAGCCGCCTCACCCTGTGTTCCCAGAGGCAGCGGAAAGACCTCAGGACCTCGCACACACCACGTAAGAGTGCTTATCCAATCCAATTTCTCTCTGCTATCTCAGCTCTGTACGACATATACATCCCAAACCATTCATTCACTGCATTTCTGAGGAACTTTGAACAAACAGCTCGCATTTGCTACAGCATACGAACGCAAAGTTGATCCAGACGGGGCTTACGGCTTTATAAAGTGTTACTGTTTCTCGATACTGTTTCTTTACATTTATATAACAATCAGGTTGTAATTGTAATCACGTCCTCTTGTCTGCAATTCCACAGTATTTGTTTCTTATTCTATAGCGAGAGCGAATATTGATCTGCAGATCTGTCATGGGAAAGAAATGTGATTAGGAAATGCCAAGAAGAAAGATATTGTGTGTAGAAATATATGGGTACAGTTTTCTCGTTTACTGAATTATAAATATCAGGGAGCTGAGTCAATCTTGCCAGACCTTCGCTCTAAGGAACAGGTCCTGATCTATAAGTACTTTCATTAACTGACACATGAACTTGGGGATTGATGAAGACCATAAAACTGCAGAACATATGTGCCCTCCTCTGGAGGGAAAGTGTAGCAGATTTACTGTGTTCATTTATTTTGCTGATAAAGCACCAGCGTTATTTGATTATGAGCCATATAAAGTATTAACAGCTCGGAGAACAATCGCGTGATTTTATAATATCATGCTTGTAGTTTTTGAACTGTGGGTGAGGAAAATGAACAGCAGTAAAGCATGTAAGACTGCACCTCATGATAATTCATTTTAGTCAGTTTTTGTCTAATTTAGTCATCAATTTTAGTCTAGTTTATCATGACATATAATTTTAATCAATGAAAATGTGCTAAATACCTTAGTGGAAATATACTAAAATGTATTTGAAATACATTAATTTTGTGCTAAGTATACTACAAATACATTTATATATTTATGTGCTTAATAAAAATACTTTTGGCATCAACTGGTATACTTAAAGTCTGCTAAATTGAAACAACTAGGATTTTTTACTATAGTGTAATCAAAAATTAACAGTACATTTATATTAATGTATGTTTATAGAAAGAAATAATACTTTTGTTCAGTGATGATGCTTTAATTTGATCAAAAGTGACACTAAAGACATTTATAATGTTACAGATTTGTGACCCTAGAACACAAAAACAGTCTTAAGTCGCTGGGGTATATTTGTAGCAATAGCCAAAAATACAGATTTTTTTTTTTTTTGCGCCCTCTGATTCCAGATTTTCAAATAGTTGTATCTCGGCCAAAATATTGTTCTATCAAAACATACATCAATGGAAAGCTTATTTATTCAGCTTTCAGAAATTTCAAGAAATTGACCCTTATGACTGGTTTTGTGGTCCAGGGTCACATTTGTGTTTCAAATAATTTTTCTTCTTTTGAACTTTCTTTTCATCAAATAGTCCTGGGGAAAAACAATGTATCATGGTTTACACAAAAGCATTAAGCAGCACAACTGCTTTCAACATTGATGATAATGAGAAATATGTCTTGAGCACCAATCAGCATATCAGGATGATTTCTGAAGGATCATGTGACACTGAAGCCTGGAGTAATGGATGCTGACACGGGAATAAATGACATTTTGAAATATATTAAAGTAAAAAACTGTTATTTTATTTTATTTATAAAACAACAGCAACAAAAAAACAATAGTACTTTATTTTACATGCTAAATTCATTATTTAATAAATTTCATTCCTGGACTTCAATATTGTGCATTGATGATCAGCATTAAAATCTGACCTTGAGGAAGACATGTCACCAACATCACAGCAGTCCAGACAAAGTGCATGGTGCTGTTTATGAAGTGAAAAAATGTGAAGTAAAAAATTAAGCTTTAATAAGTCCTTAGATCCCATGCAGGCAGACGGTCTCCTGTGGGGACTAAAATAATAGCTGAAGTGCACAGTCATGCTCCAGTGGCATTTCTGAGTTGGCAGAGAATACACTGTAAAAAGTAATGAGTTGAACTTACTTGGAAAACCTGTGGAAACTGATTTGCCTCAAATTTCTCAAGCAAATTAGTTTATAATTTTTGAGTTAATAAAACTTACTGTAACTTTGTATAGGTAACTTGTGTATATGTATAGGTTACCAGAAAACTTGAGTGTTGCTAACTCAATTTGACAAGTTCAGCCAACTTAGAGATTTAAATTAAGCTTAGTGCACAGAACTCAAACAAAACAGTTCTCTTAACAAGTCTGCTTTGTTCACATTACTAGACAAATGTGTGGAAACTGATTGCCTTAAATTTCTCAAGTAAGCTGTACTCAAAACTTGAAGTTGTTAATACAAAGACAGAAAACAGATTGTTAGCACAACAATAGGGCATTTATTTGTTTAAAACAATGTTACTTCAAGTCATTACTTTTTAGGCATGCTATCAAATCAACAATTTAACACTGTAAGAAAAATTGCACATACTGCACTCAGGAAATAAATAGAAAAAAAAAACCCATCAACATCCCTTTTATGACACCTTATAAATCTAGATTCACCATTTTCTAGAATTACCTTTTTCTAAGTCAAGAATGATCAATCATGAATCATCATAGTCCTAGAAACAGGAGCACAATATGACAAAAATAAGTATATTAAATAAGTTAAATTTTAAGAGTACATATTCAGGTTAAACATTTGCAAACAACGCTCTACTGGATTATGAGGCAGCAACAGCTTGTGGGTAAGCCAAAAAGCTGAAATCTTACTGATATTTGACAGCTTGAAGAAAAAAGATTCAGAACCCTATCTGTAAAAAACAAAACAAAAAAAAAACTGTATTCATTGTTCTTTGCACCAGACAATGGAAACAGACCTTTAATCCAACAAACTAGATGCTCTTAAGTACTGTTTACTAAAGTTGTTTAGTTTAACTATTGCATCCACCTGAAAGTTCACATAACACAGTGTAATTAAGTAAATTCAACAAATTTGTAAAAATCAGTTATGTTTACTCGCTTTTCTTAAGTAGATTCAGTGATTACTTTTTACAGTGTATAGCTGCACTAAAACGGATGGAGTTTTAAATGCAATGGAGGCCGCTGATAGTACCTGAGGCGCATCCCCTCGAGGATCCCGCTCTGTATCTGTATAGAGATATACAAGCTTTTTAAACCAAATGTTTCTCGCAGACATTTCCTGTGACCCTTTCTGTCTGAAGCAAAGGATGGTGGATGACTGCCAACAAGACAACTGAACATATTTTTGAACTTTTCTTTATTTTTGAGTCACCTTAATCAATACCAAAATTGATTACTTTTTTAATGCACATAACATTCCTGGTCTTATTGAACGAGGTTGCACATCATTTCATTTTTTTTTTTTTTATGTTTTTAAATGTAATCATTTTCTCTGCCTCTGAAATGACTTTACGTTTTAACTGATGTCATGAATACCTTTTACTTTTTAACCTTTTCCCCCCAGCCGCCAATCACCGTTCTGGTATAAAATGCATATTTTCACAATCCAATCAATTTCTGGTGGATTAAAATTAAGTTTTGGGTGGGGGGTTAATTTTGTTTAACTTATTATGCCACATTACAAAAAAAAAATAATATGTTGCGAATGACGCAACACCTTGTCTATATGGTCTACTATAAACATTACAATTGCAATAATTAGTTTCTGCTTCATAAACAATTAATATTTTATATTATATGAATACTTTATACTGACTCCTAGTGGCTTGGATGTAGAATCCATAGACTGTATAAAAACATGGACGTAGTGTCCGTGACGTCACCCGTAGGGTTCCGAAGAGAGTTTTTGAAGCTCAAAAGTGGGCGGAGGCGGCCGTCGCCATCTTGGCAGCGTGTCACCGCGCGTCACTCCCGGATAATCGAAGATGGGCAAAGAGGCGGGAGCTGGTTGTTGAAACCACGCCCACCTAGCTCGATGGTGGTGACAGCAGTGGCAATCCACCTGTCACTCAAGTGGCCACGCCCTTAATTATGCAGAACTTTAAGGCTTAATATAATTTAAACGGATGAGTTATAAAAAAATTCACCCCCCTCACAGTTGTCATGAAGGGCAAAATTAGCTATATAGACCAAAATCATTTTTTGAACCAGGCTGTAAACATGTTTTTTTCTGCTGTAAAGTTGGGCATTTTAACATGGGGAGTCTATGGGATTGACTCCCTTTTGCAGCCAGCCTCTAGCGGCCAGTTGACGAATTACAGTTTAAGTCACTTCCGTGTTGGCTTCACGAGAGAGAGCGGGAGGTTGCCGCTTGGTAGAATCATGCACGTTTCTTGATTTCTAGTTGCATTTACTTATTGAGGAAAACTAGTCTAGATTTTATTTTTACATTTTTTATTTAGCTTAAATATTTTTATTGACAATGGGAATGAATTAAGAAATGCAGCGTTGCAGAGAAGATTTTAGGCATAGAAAAACTCTATAATGATGGGTTTATAAATTCTTCCCCTTTAAGGGACATTCGCACTTACACAAAACTTATGAAGCAGTACTTGTATAACATTCACTAGTTTCAGTAATAAATTTCAAGACAGTTAATGCCAGTTTTTAAACTGTCTGCTATTATTATTCCTGTTATTGGCATAATCTGTAGCATTTAATTTTTTGTGTTGACTTTGATGGTTTTGTATGAAAAGTTATAGATATTTAGCCTATATATTTTCTGAATATCTTTAAATTACAAGGTTCAAAGGCTCCACACATTAAATCTGTGCTTTTAAATATTGGTTTACAAATACATGCAGATCTTGTACTTCGTATTTAACATCTAAACTCCATTTGCTTTAAAACGCGCATCCTGTTTCACGCAAAATGTGAGCTCCCTTGAGGCATATTCAAGATCAAATATATATTTAAATGTTTTCTTAGATCTGATTTAAATTGAATTCTAAATGCGTGTAAATCAATGATGAAATAATACATCTTATGAAAGAGTGTTTAAATTTTTCCGTCTTATTACCACCTAGAATAGATTCAGATTTAATGATGAAATTGCCTCTGAACTCACTGTGACCAAAG